TGGCGTGGCAGTGGCCGCACTGGACCCGGTACGGCGCCGGCGGCGGAGCGGCAACCTGCGGCGGCGGGACGTACGGCGGCGGCGGCTGCGGGGCGGACGGGCCGGCGCCGCTCCCTGCGGCGCCGCGCTTGGCGGCCGCCGCGGCCGACGCCGCGGCCGACGCGGCGGATCTGGCGGCGGCCGCCGCGGCAAGGCGGGCAGCTTGCGCCAGCTCCGCCGCCGACGCGGCGGCCTTTGGCTTTCCTCTCGACTGCCCCCACGAGGCGGGGAAGGGCGGCACGGCGCTCCAGTAGTTCCCTGCGCCCTTGGGCGCGACCTGCGGGCCCGCAAAGCCGGCGCACATCGCCTGCGTGAGCCGCAGGTCGTACAGCCGCCGCTGCTCCGGGTTGGTTAGCGTCTCGAGGGCGGCGTTGATCTGGTTGAAGGCGTCTGTGGCGCCGGCCTCAGACGTCTTGTCCGGGTGCAGCTTGACTGCCAGCTTGCGGTACGCTTTCCGGATGGTGACCTCGTCGGCGGAGGTTGCGACACCGAGCATCTCGTAGTGGCTGTTCGAGCGCTGCACCTGCGCGAGGGCCTCGCTCGGCGGAGGCGCCGCAGCGCTGCTCGCCGCCGCGCCGGCGCAGCCGTTGGGGCGGCCCTGTGCACCGTCCGCCGCCGCCGCGGGTGCCGCCGCCGCCGCCGGCGCCGCCGACGCTCCCTGCGGAGCCGCCGCGGGTGCCGAGCCGCCGGCCAGGCGCTCCAGGAAGGCCTTCGCGTCGCTCGTGGGGAAGAGCCGCTGCGACTTGGCGGCGAGGCGCTCGGCCGATGCCGTGTCACCGCTCCGCTCGGCAGTCACGGCCGCCGCCAGCGCCTGCGCCGCAGACTCCCGGTTCGCCTCCATCAGCTCCCTCGTGAGCCAGCATCCCCATCGAAAAAAAAGAAACACTGATCAACGAGTTCGCGCTGCGCTAGGCTCAGACGGCGTGTTCGCGCTGCGCTAGGCTCAGTACGGCGAGTTCGCGCTCTGCACCGCTACTCCGTACTGGCTAAGCGTCCGTCGCCCTTTTCAAACTCGGGGCCCACTCCGCTACGTACGGCCTACGCTCCGACCCGAATTTGGAGGGCCTGAAAAGTTTAAGGTGTTGCTGCGCAAAAGGGTGGGGAGCCGCGGCGGCGCTGCAGAGTATCTGCGTCTGCGCTGGTAGAGCCCTTTTGCGCGGTATTAACGCACACACCGCGACAGCCCCGCAAGGCGCGCGATACACACAGCTAGAAGTCAGTCACCGTCCTCAGGCGGGGGGTCACAGAACACCGAGTCCATAAAGCTAAGCTCCTCGCCTTCAGGCTCAGCAAGCTGCATCGACACCGGCCCATCAGCGGTTAGAGGGGGGAGATCTAGAGGATCATCTGAGCTGGAGCTAGCGGCGGCGGCCGAGCTAGCGGCGGCGGCCGGGGTGCGAACCGGCGGCATCACTGATTCAGGCTTGAACCCGGGCTGCTGGTAGGGCAGAGTGATGCCGTTGGCAGCGGCGCGCTCCTCAGCCCAAGACAGGAGCTCTTCAAAGCGGTTGACTCGGGGCAGTAGGGCAGCTATGGGCACATGATCATAACACCCAAAAAGGGCAGTGCCTTCGTCTGGGCGCCTGAAGATGGAAAAGGAGCCAGTCCGCAGTCGGGTTGCTAGCGTGCACATCTGGTAGCTGTGTGTAGCCGGCGACAACACGCGGCGGTGGCGGCAGCGGCGGTGGCGTTGGCAGCGGCGACGGTGGAGGCACAGGACCGTACTCCCTGTCCCACCGCCATCCGGTCTGAAGCTGGTAGTCGCCCCGCATCTCGACTACCCGCAGTGCAGCATCCAAAGGCGTCTGAAAAAAGTCGACGTTCTCTCTGAGATGATAAATGTCTTCTGCAGCATGATGGTCCATCACAAAGTAGTCGCCATATTCCCACTTGCCTAGCCCTAGGAATGTCTGCGCAGGCTCGAAGTCCCAGTTAAACTTCCGGTGTTGAAACCCTTAAGAAGCGCACCAGCTCAGTTTTGTTGGAATGCATCGAGCTCTGTACCCCCGGGGTGACGACGGGCCCCCGGGGGCGGCGGGGGTGCTCTCGCGGGGGGTCCCCCCAGTCAAGGGGGTCTGGGGCTGCAGCCCCACAGCCCCAAGAAGCCCGCCGCAGGCGCCGATTTTTTGGGCTTTTTTGACTGATTTTCACGAAGCACAACATCACCGTCGTGGTGATCTCTCTCCTCACCCCGAAGGCGGCGGAATCGTCGAGCGGGGGGAGCGACGACTCGGACTGACCTGGCTGGCCAAACACCCATAAAAACAAGTGGTCTAAACCTGGCTGGCCAAACACCCACAAAAACAAGTCTAAACACCCAAATCATCACCGCACACCGGTCGTCGTCGTCTCTAGCCAGTCACTCAGACTCTCTCAGAGGTTGGCTTAAAGAGGATCCGGAGCGCGGTAGAACTCTGGGGCTCTCTCCGAAGGGAGCGCAGCGTAACACTTAGTGGCACAGGAAGCATTGCCTCGATCGCCAGCATTGCCTCGCCCCCTCGTTTCGTCCTCCCATCTCCCCACCCACATCTCCTGCTGCTAGCTCAGCGCCAGAGCCAGGGCAAGTGTGCAAATACGGTTTCGTACCACGGCGGAGGACTAGTCGACGGAGGACTAGTCGGTGGGGGGCCCGGTGGCATGGGCGGCTTTGGCGGGGCCGGCGGGGGAAAGGGCACGGCCGCAGGGCAGACGCCATTGTTGCCCGCCTTGGGGTAACCCGCCTTCTCGCAGATGGCATAACCTGCTTCCTCGTCGGTTGGGGGTGGCTGCTGAACCTTCCAAATCCCCTCGGGGAAGCCCGCCTGGGCCGCCTCGCAGCTTTCCTTGGTAACCCCGCACTGGCAACACTTGGCGGCCACCTGCACGAGAAAAGGAAAGAGGAGAACGAGATGGGGTGACGCTCTCCACCGCGGATATCTGCTCGGCCGAGGTAGCAGTGGCCCAGGCAGCCCTTCGCCGTGCCGCCACGGGCGGTTGCGCGGCGGTTCGAGTGCCTCGAGACGACTCGAAAGCGATCTGTGTCGTCCGATTTCGCGTCGCGATCGACCGTCTCCCTGTGCGGCTCTCTCAGCGTGTCGTCGAGCAGAGGCGGCCGAGCGCATCCGAGAAACCGCCCTCTCGCGCTCGAGAGGCGCCACCGCCGGCCCAACCGTGCTGTGCCGGTCGGCTGCGGCGCCGGAGACACCGGGAGCGCCTCGCGAGCGGCGCGCACGACCCGTGCACCTCTTCCCGCGCGCCGTCACCCCTTCTCGCTCGCCGCGCCACCTTCTGCTGCCGCAACCTCCCTCCGGAGCCGGCTGCTGCCATTATCCGCCGCCGGCCGGCCCTCCGGTCACCTCGTCGAGTGCTCGCCGCTCGCGCGAGCTCGAGGCGCCGCCCTCCTTTCGTGCCGGCCGGTGTCCCCGCGGGCTCGGGTAGCTTCCCTCTGAGAGAAGTCCGTGCGGGCGGTGAGAGAAGGTGCCGCGTGTGGCTTTGGTGTACGTATAGAGCGTGCTGTACCAGCTCTCGTGTCCACACAGCAGGACACACACAGCTGCAACATAGCCGAAGCCGCGCCTCTCCCATCACGCATGCGCGCGGGGCGCAGAGTGTCATCAGTGTTGGTCGGGAGAAACAGTACAGACGCGTCCGGACCGTATGCACCATAGAGGGCGACCGCTCTCACCGCGCGCGCTTCGTGACATGTCGCGCGGGCTGACACGGCGGCCGCGAGGCATGCGCTAATCGGCCTCTGTGCTGCGAGCCACGCCGCCTCCCGGCCAGCGCGGGCGACCGCGGCGCGCAGCTCGTCTCGGGCAAGGAGAGTGGCGCGAGGGGCTCGAGAGCTCACGCGAGGTGCAAGCGGCGAAGTGCGGAGGAGGGGTCACCAGACCGGCTGCTTTGGCCACGCGCAGGTGTAAGAACAAACACGTGGGCAATCTCACCGTAAGAACAAACACGTGGGCAATCTCACCACACGAGAGCAGCACGAGCAGACAGCCTGAACGCATGACACACGTGCGGCACCTGGGGACACTTACTTTTCTCGTGCTTATCGCAGCCCGCTACCAACGGCACCCAAGCAGTGACATCCGTGCCGTGCGCGCTCGCGGACAGCCGACGCACGCTCGGCGGCTCCTCGGGATAGGCTCTCTAGCAAGCGAGCACACGCCCCTCTCACACCACGCTCCGGCTGCAGCGAGAGCGAGACGAGTATCCGCGCGGTGCGGCGCGACAGACCCTTCCGCGTGAGGGCGTGCTCGTCTTGCGCGCCGCCCGTCTCGCGGGCGTAGACCCACCACCCGGACCGTGCGTAGACCCACGCGTGAGGCGAGCTGATCAGAGGGTGTGCGAGCCCTCTCCCGACCTCCGCCGCGTGCACCCGAGCGCCACGCGCTCGCGTTCGCGCCTCCGCGGTACCTGTCGCAAGGGGCACACGGGAGGTGCGCCTTCCGTACGGAGCACGCGCGGCCTGCCGCGCGATGCGCCCGCCGAGCGTGTCTTGCGCACGAGCGGAGCGGCGCGAGCGTGCGCAGAGTTGGGATGGAGAGCTCTCGCGTCGCGATCTCAGGGTCGCGAGGGGTCGGCCTAAGCTACCTGCACGCGCCGCGAGCCCGGAGGCTGCACGAGAACCCGCGCGGCGAGATGTCTGGAGCCCGGAGCGCCGGCGGCTCGACGAGCCGCTCGCGGCGATGCGCCGTGTGGGAGGACGAAGTGGCCAGGAGCGCGCTCCTTTGAAGGCTCGGCCAGGGGTAGCGAGCTGCCCCTGTCGGCGCGAGGCGGTGCCGCGGCGGTGCGCGTGGAGCGCAGGCCAGCGAAACCTGCAATCGGCGATTGCAGGTTGGGCCACTGCGAGCGCTCCGACGCGGTGGCGGCCATCAAGGAGGTCTTCTCTCGGCCGCCGCTCTCTCGGCCGCCTCTCTCGGCCGCCTCGCAGGGACGTCCTAGCTCCTACCTCGGCTGCATCTCGGCTGCGTCTCGGCAGACCTGCATCAGAACAAAACACTGCGCCTCGGTGCAGGCCTCGACCGTCATGCCAAGGGGATCCTTCTCGCACTTTGCTTTGGTGGCGCGAGTGAGTGTACGTGCGGTGCGGGCAAGTGTACGTGGCAGGAGTGGGGAGGGCGCACAATCTCCCTGTCGGGATACATTGGTATCCCCTCCGGCCCCGCCACGTTGGGCTTCAGGGCATGCATGATCAACAACTGGCAGTTGGCGTTAACTCCGAACAAGTCCATCATCTGCCGCTCCTCCTCCGCCGTCATTTCCGCCGCCCCCTCAACAACGGCGTCGAACCGGCCCGCTTCTTCGAAGACTGCGCACTCCACATCCAGAATGGTTCCTACCCCCTCGGCAGTGAGATCAGCCTTTTCGCGAGCTGAGGCCGCAGGATCGGCGTGGACTTCGGGCGACGAGGCGTAAGAGGCGAAGGTCAGTACGATGGCCATGGCAGCTACCCCGCCAACCAGCCAGCGCCAGCGTCGATTGCGCGTCGCTTGCGCGGATATCATCTCTACAAGCCCCTGGCCCAGCTGCCTAATGGACGGCCGAATGCGCGTCGGAAGGGAAGTGCAGAGTGCATTTCTGGAAACTCGCGAGTTTCCCTGAGTCTGAGAGCTGGTCGGGGGCAAAATCTGAGGCAAAATTGAGGAAATCGACAAAATACCCACAGGCGGTCGCAGGGTAATTTCCAGGTATACACGGGTTCTCCGCGAAATTCCCGGCATTTTGCCGATTTGGCCTAAAATTTGGCTGATTTTGGGCCCAAACCAGCCTCAGACTCGGCTCAGAGCCAAAAATTTGACGATTTCCACGCAGTTTTCCCGGGAAGATAGAGAGGAAAAGAGAGGGTGCCCGCAACCCGATCCCGATCATCCGGCCCGCTGGGTGCGCTCCTCAGCTCCCCGGCCCTGGCGCGGCGGCAGCAGACGGCAGGCAGAACATCGGACGACGGGACATACGGCACGGCGGGCGCGGCACTGTAGGAGCGGCGGTACGGCGGCACGGCGGTAACTTTTTATGGCGGGTCAAGCTCAAACAAACAACTCTAACACTCACACGTCATTTGGGGCCTGGAGCCCTGTTCACGCGCGCGCGAGACGTGCAGACAGGGTTGCCAGGTGAGAGCGAATGGCGCGGTTCACGCCTCGCACAACAGAGAGAGAGATGCGCTCTGCATGGTGGGACATAAAAGAGAGCGAGTACTTGGGCGAGTAGGCTGTGCGGTCAACGCTGCCGCGCGCGACTTTGCGCGCGAGGCGCGGCGCAGCTTGAGAACGGCGGTGGGCGAGAAGCCGCCGCCGAACGTCGCTCTCGTGGAGCAGCAGGTTGAAGTTGTTGCGCTTGACAAAGATCGCGTCGTCGTAGAAACCGCGATGCGCCTTGACGTAGCCGTGGCCGGTCTTGTGGGAGAAGGGTTGGCCGGGCTGCCCGCGCGCCTTGCAGCCCATGTTTAGGCGGCGGGCCTTCTCTTCGGTGTTGCCGAAGGCGTAGGAGTGGCCAACGGAGGGGGGCGTGCCGCCACTCGAGGCGTTGCCAACGCCCGGCGAGGAGGTCTTGAGGAGGGGCGTCCAGAGATGATTTCATTCACTTCATCGCACCCCCCCGGTCCCGCATGGGGTTCTGCGAGGTCAGTCTTGTACCCCTCGTTGTACTGCCGGGTGAGCTCTGGTTTCTCCTTGTCGCCGTGCACGACCGGCGCGTTGGCCGGGGCGCGCATGGCGTCCGCCCAGGCGGCGAGGACGCCGTCGTGGGGCCGCCGGTGGTGGGCCTTGTTGTAAAGGTAGTCGCCGAAGAAATCGACTGGCATGCCCCGCTCGAGCGCGACCCGAAGGGTGGGAAGCGCCGCGGAGAGCCAAAGGCCGAGCTTCCGCTGGAGCTCGTCCTGGAGGGTGTCGGAGGAGAGGGCGGTGGCGTACGTACCGTCGACACGGACATCGAAGGCCTTGCCGGCGAAAGGCGTTGAGGCGGAGACGAAGCGCGCGGCTTCGCGGTTGTTGACGGCGCTGTCTCCGAGGGACGGGTTGTTCTTGACGTGCACATCCCGCGCCTTGACGAGCTCCTGGTGCGCGTACCAGTCCTTGTGATTCTTGATGGCAGCGAGCGCCCGCGGCCGCGGGTACGTGGATTTGCAAGTGCCATTTCTCTCTCTCAAGCTCTCAAAATAAAAAATGTTTGTGAGATAACATCGAAGGCAAAAAATACGAACCGTGTCCAGCACTGCCACAATGACGCCGCAATGACAGGGGCGCCGCAGCAGTAGAGAGCAGTGCACCATACCGTTTTTATGGCGGGTCAAGCACTCAAAATAAAAAATACGCGCGCGCACTGCCACAATGACGCCAAACCGTGTCCTTCTGCTGGCCATCGCCTTCTGGGCCAGCGGCGCGCTTGTCACGCTCAGCCTCAGCCTGAACGGGCTCCTCGCCAAGGCCGCAGCGCCGCGCTTCCACGCCGACGCCTCGCGCGCGCCATGGCTTCGGTTCGCGTGCTTCGGCGGCGGCGTGGCGCTGGGCGTGTCGCAGGCGGCGCTGATATTTGTGCCGCTGGCCGCCAGCGAGGCGCGGCGGATCCTCGGCCTGTCGGTGCGCGCGCGTGCGGTCGACTTTTTCCCCCGCTGCAAGCTGCTCGGCGTGCTCGCCGTCGCGCTCAGTTGCGCTCTCGTGGACCGGCTCACGCAAGCGTACTACGCGTCTGTCCTCGTCTTCGTCGCGCTGCTCGCCGCCGTCGGCGTCTCTCTCGCAGCCGGCGCGGCGCGCCTCTCCCTCGGCCTCTGCCTGAGCGGCGACCACCGCGCCGCTCTCCTCAAGCGGGTGAGGGTGGCGCTGCCGCCGCTGCTCGAGGAGGAGGGCGAGCAGCGGGCGTCGGACCTCGCCGCGGGCGTGTCGCCCGCCGCGGACGCGTCCTCGCCCGCCGCGGACGCGTCGCCCGCCGCCGCGGCCGCACCGCCCGCCGCGGCCGCGTCTCCCGCCGCAGCTTGGCCCGCCTCCTCTCGCGAGCTTGGGCCGGGGACGAGAGACTGGCTGCGCGACGAGGGAGGGGGCGACGCCGAACCCGCGCCGGCAGTCTGGCCGGCCTCTGCGCGGGACCTGAGCAGCACGACACGGTCTTGGCTGAGAGACGACGGGGGCGCTGCCGCGCCGCAGGGCGAGACAGAGCAGGGGGATGACGCCGGCGTCTGAAAAATAAATAAATAAATAAAAACGGACACCTCTCTACTGTGAGATGGGTAAAAAGGAACAGGCCCCCGCCCTTGCGATCTTTGTGCAGGGTTCTTTGTGGGTGTGGTCGGCGACTAGCCGGGGTCGTCCTCCCGATGGGGGACTAGCACTAGCCGTCTTCCACATGGTCCCTCGGGTCCCTGCTGCTCCTAATCTCTTCGTACATCCTCCTGCTGATCTCCGCAAAGTCCTGCTCCCTCCCTCGTCTTGCCCTGCGCGTCTGCTCCGCCTCACCGTCTTCTGCCCTGCGTCGTCTGGCGACGGGTCCTCCATAGTCGGTCGAAGTCGCCGCCCTCCTCGTGCCTCTTCCCAACGTTCCCTCGGCGGCCGATGCCGTCTGCTCCGGCTCCCCAGTCCCCGGGTCTGCCCTGCTCTCGTCTGCGCTAGTTTCTGCTTCGTCCTCACCGGCGTCTCTCCTCTTCCCTCTCCCCTTCTTGTATGCTTTGCACATCGCGTCGATTCCTGTTCGCGTGAGCACCAGCCTGAAGCCCGCCCAGCATCTGAACCGCTCCCTAAGTCGAAGGAGCATCATCAGTCTCACCCACTTCGCTCTCTGCCCACCGTCTCCGCTCCCTCCCGCTTGAGCCGCCGTCGCGGCCCTCGTTCGTCCCACTGGCTGTTGGCCTGTTCCCACGTTACCTCCATTATCCCTCCTCCTCCGCGACTCCCTCAAGGCTGGCCGGGCCTCCTTCCACCCAGCGAAGAGCTTCCTCAGCCACTCGATGTGTTCCTCTCTCTTCATTATGCGCGCCGTAGCCTCATCATTGAGCTGGATCCACCTCTGCACCGCTCCCGTCGCCGCCTCGGCCACGACTTGCAAGTTCCTCGTGACCCCGGCGCCAAGGTCCCTCCGACTCTTCTCCGGGAGATCATCTACCAGCGCCGGCAACACCCCCCCGACGGCTGGTGCTAGTGCATCGTACCCGTCCTCATCCAGCACCCTATAGCGTGAGCCCTTCAGCGCAGCGACATGCGCTATTCTCAGCGTCTTCAGCGTATCCTTGGAGTCGGGTGCCGCCTGCGCTACTTTGCTGATCGCCGTCCCCGTCTGCGCTCGCGCTACTCTGAGGAACCATCTGGCCTGCTCCCTATTCCCCGGGCAGGCGCCGCTAAGCAAGTGCGCCATTGTCGCTCTAGGCGGGTTCTCATCTTCCTCGGTCCATTGCTGCGCGGCTTTCCGCACGATCGGGCACAGCGGGTCCCGCTTTAGTGCCGCCCTCCTCGCCGCGTCCCTCGCGGCCTTACATACGAGGCAGCCCCTGAGTTCGCTCCTCGTGGCGGCGCCCGGGGTCTCTCTCCCCGCCTCTCCCCGCATGATCCTCTCGTGGTGCGCTCCGTGTGGCACCCCCGCCTGCTGCCGCACCCGCGCTCCCATGACGGTCTTTGTCACCACGTTGTGATCATCCACGTCGGCGAATTGTATCTCACGCTCGCCGTGCTGATCCTTGATCCGCTGACGCTTGTCCCATTTGTGTCTCGTCGTTCCCCTGACCACATCGCTCCACAGCGGCCCAGGCACCCCCGCCGTGTGTGATCCCGCCGTGAGCCCCTCGCCGAGCCGTCCTCGCACCCACTCGTTCGTGTGGCCGCGTGTGGCGTAATAGGTCCTCCGGTCCAGTACCTCCCGCCCCCCCTCTCTGTCTGCCGTCCTCCGGCGGTCCGTGTACAGACACGGGCGCGTTCTCACTGCTTCACGGATGACGGCGGTGGCATCCTCAATCTCGCTGGCCCCCATGTATGCCGTCGCCGCGGCGTCGGCATAGGCGTTGCCAGCGCACCCCGCGTGGCTCGGTACCCACAGGAACGTGACGGATTCGAGCTGGGCGCGATATCTGCATATCCCCTCCAACTGAGCCCCTCGATCCCACTCCCTGAGCCCCTCAAGAGGGCCTCTTCGGTACGCCGCCTCGATTTGCTGTAGCGCGGGCTTGCAGTCGCTCAAGACGAGGCACCTCCTGTCCGCCGCATCTTCCGACGTCGCCATCTTACGCAGGTAAGCCAGCACCGCGTACATTTCCGCGTCTATCACCTGCCAGTCGTCTGGCAGTCTGCCGCCCCACAGCCCCTGCCCAAACGCGAGCCGCAGCTCATCGTCCCCGCTCTCGAGCTGTCCAGATCCCTCGACGGGTCTCCCGAATCGGGCCGGCCCTTCGTACACCCCATACGACACTACCGGTCGCGGTACGAACCTATCCCCCACCCACTTATTCGGCGTGTCTCTCCCTCCATCCGTCGCAGCGAGGTGCGTGAATGGCCGCGCTCTGTGCAGCGCGAGGCATATCCTGGCCACCTCCGCGTTGAGCTCACGGCCCTAGAGGGATTTTTATCTCGGGCGGAAGATGAAGCCCCGACTTCTAATAAATTGTGCCAGGCGTAGGCCGTAGCCGGGGGCGGACAGCACCCCTCCGTCCTGAGTCACCAGAAAATCCCAACGATCCTTGAGCGGAGGCCGCCTTGGCCACTTTTGCGGCCTCTCCGGAGAATCTGGGAGAATGGCTACCATAGCCTAGCATGGCACCCGCGGGCAAAGCTGCCCCCAGGTCCCTAGAGTTCATAGGCATTCCCAAAGGATATGTCAGCGTGAGGTGAGGGCGCAACGGTGGGGGCTCTCACCAGCCCCTCAAAGTTGGGCCTCTCGGGGAGAAGGGTCAGTGCGGCCCACAAGGTGTGAGCTACCCCCTCTCCTAGGTGTGACTCTACAGCCCCTGAGGCCCTCTGGGCTGGGCACCATCAGCTTGGGCAGGGTCCTCGGGGTCGGGAGAGAGGTACTTGAAGCACTGCCTTTCTACAATATTCTTCCTTTTACCGACTTTGCTATAAGCCTGACTGGCTATGGTTGTCGCTTCCTCCATCAGCCATTGTTTTTCCTAGTACTCCATAAATTCCGCAGGTCTCGCCTTCACCTCTTTTCTCCTCAGTACCGCTCTTCCCTCTCTTCCTTTCTTTCCTTTCCTCTTATTTTGTGCGCACGCTTCTATTCCTACATTCTCTCTTCACT